CCGCGGGGCGGCCCCGGCCCCGGCCGCTCCCAGCCCTCCACCGAGCCCCCGCAGGCGCGCCGCGTAACGCCCAGCGCACGCACGGCACCACGAAAATCACAGTATCGGGGGGGCTCTGCCGTGAACGCGGCGCAGGAAGAGGATCAACTCTAGTAAGGAACAAGCCAGGATAAGTCTGACCAGCCCGCTGAGGTGCTCCTGCTTTTACGGTTTGGCATCTGACAGTTTTACAGGAAACACAGCTTGCTCTGGCATGTCGCTTACACGCAGATGTTCCGCAATCACCTGCCAAAGAACTGTTGCACTTTCATGCAAAGAAGCTGCTCAACTTGTCTAGAATAAGACTTTGCACTTGCTGGCCATTTTAGTTTTCACAATCACCCACTTGCTCACACAAAACCAATGTTCCTGCCTGTGCTGGGCTACATTTGACTCTCCCTATGTGCAAAAAAAAAAAAAAGAAAAAAGAAATTATTTTGCATCAGCTCACATGTTGCCAATTAAACAGAGCTCAGCAATTACATTAAAAATCAGTGGCAGCTGGGATGACTTTGTCAGAGAGAGTAAGATATCACACATCGTGCATTAAAAGCATTCACACAAGTAATTCTTCATTGTGTTGCTGTACGAACTAAAAATTTCCAGGAGTTCAATAGCAGAAGTGACCAACATCTACATAGTAATTGGGTAAAGGTCTATCACCACATAAGACCCAAGAAAGTGAGCCAACACCACCAAAACACATTAAGATTAAAAACATATCAGGATAATAAAGTATGTTCTAGGAAAGGAATTCCTTAATAGTCAATTTCACAGTCCACAGCTAAAGCATATAGTTTCTTTACAGACAATTTTTCCAGGCATCCAAGTATTGCTTTAAGCTGCTCGAAAGAGGGATTTAGCATCTAAAAACGTACAGTCATGTTTGCTTCAGATAAAAATCACATCATAAACTCAAATCGAAGATTGTATCATGTTATATTACAGTCATCATACCACCTGCCATAAGGTGTGTCTAACCTACGTAAGGAAACTTTTGCAAGACAAAGATTGCATTAAATAGTTGTCTCAATTATTCTTTCAATAACTGATGTTCAGAGGGCAACCTTGTTTTTCAGCAGATGCATTTGAATGCATCTATGGGCTAGAGCAAACTTCAAAACCAGCTGCCTCACTCAGTTTTGAAACTCAAGAAGAAAGAGTCGAGGACAGCAACAGAGTAAAGAATGCTGGGTATTCCCAGATTCAAAACATAGTAGTACACTACTACGGATGTACGAGAAGAGCTGGCCAAACCTGTACAGCTGCAGTGATTCTTAGCGCTTACAGTCAGAGGAAAAATTTACAGGCTACACCGGTTCAGCAGGACCAAGGGAAGACTTTATTCTAAATATTACGGCCATCCATGCTGACCAATTTTTACCGAACAGCTGAGGCTGTCATTACCTGAGGAATAAAGAATTGTAAAGTAGAAAAGAAACAAAGAATCTAGCTCAAGATGAGCTAAATACTTCATAGTCAAAGACTGTCCCAAAGATGACATCCATTAGATTTAGGGACTTTTTCTTTTAAGGAAACTGAGAGGAGGAAAAGGGTAAAACATCAGAATGATAAAAATGCTGTATATACAGCTAAACGTGTATGTCCATATAAGTACCTGATATGATTCAAAGCAGCAAGACCGCTTTAAATAACTGATTTCAGTCAGTTAAATAAGAGAAGCACTGTGAAGGAGCTGCTGTGCTTTAGGCTTCCTTTGTATTTGGAGTCTCTATTTGACTCCCTTCAAGTCAGCACAGAACTCTAACATCAGTTTTAGAAGTGACAAAAGCTGTAAGGAAATATATTAGTGTTGCTGCTACAGCAATGACAATTTCAAAAATATGTTTGGAGATTTGAAGAGGAATTTTAGACAAGGAACACACACAAAAACAAACACGGATGCACACATAAGATATGCAGAGAAGGACAGGCATACACAAACTGCATTAGAAACTCTGTAAACCACTGACATCTAGAGATAGGTACAAAAAATGCAGAACAATCTGTAGCACAACATTTTCATATGCGGTAATTCACAAATTTTACTCCATAATTCATATTTAATTCACTTTGAATATTTCCTTTAGATATTCACTTTTGTGCTGCTTCTGATGCACAAGGACCATAAACAGTTTGTATAGATTAACCCAATGTCAGACATCGATATCATGTGCTCAGATCCTGTTTGACTGAAGTATTTACAGCCTAGATTATACTCCAGATTCTCTAGTATCCACTCCTTGATTCTATTTTATATTACATTTTAGCCACTGTGATTCATTTTTCTAAGGTTAATCAGATGCCGTACAATTTGACCTAAAAGCTGGTATTCTGTCTGGCAGCCAGTTAGTACTGAATCAAGCAATTCACAGTTCAGTAAACTAGTGTAAATTAGTCTTAATGGCAATCCCCTCCATGGTCCGTCTATATGCTGCTCTGATATAACCACAGATCCCAGGAAAGACAGAATTAGATTGTGCAGCTTCTTACCTGCAGCTCCTTTGAGACTCTCTCTAAGTGGTTAGTTATCTTTTTTATTAGGTCACTATACATCTGTTCCGAATGCTGCTGGCATACACACTTATACACACAACTGCAGAAACAAATATAGGAACAAACAATGAACTTACAACAGTTTGCAATGAAGGGTAACAGAATTTAAAATATTTTGTTCAAGTCACAATTTAGAGGATAACAGATTTAATGGAATGGCTGCTGAAGTTTCAAATACAACCTAAACTTCCAATGAGTTCCAGTAGACTTCCCAGTCACCCTGGAAACCCCAGCATCCCACCCCGACTTCACTTTAATTTTCAACGAACTCTAACAGTGTGCTTCTGAACAGCTGGGATAATTGTCAACAGCATACTCCCAATCCTGGCTTTTGTCTCTGCACCCCCGCCCTCAAAAAAACTACATGAATAGAGGCTCCAGGACAATAAGAAGGTTTAAGGATTATGTATATTCTAGGGCAAAATCCTTACTAAAAGATGGGCAATACTGAGAAGTCGTTATAAAAGTTGCACTAAAATAGTGCTAGTGTTTTAAAGGAAATAGTAAAAGCTATAAAAATAGATTCAAGCACGTGACTCCATCCATCGTTACTTAAATTCTAAAAAAACCCCCTATATCTGCATAATAAATGAAAGAGCAACAAACTAATTCTACATTCCATGGCTTGGACGTATTAACTCTGATCTTCAGTGCTATCGCTGCTCTCTAAAATATTTTATTGCTCCCATGTAGTATGCTATAACAGCTTATCTGCAATAAGTCTATATACTAAGAACACATTTAAAACAAACATTTGTATTACTTTCAGCAAAAAGTTACATTAATTTATTCAATCCTCAGGACTAACGCTAATGTTATTTGTATCAAGCAGCTTTTAATTTTCTTTTAAGCTTTCATTCTTTAGGTCAACATTTTGAAAACTAGCTACAAAAATCCTGACACACAAGGGAGACTTCACCTGATACCTTGGACAAACTGACTTTCCTGCCCGTGCCTCTATTTCTGCTCTCCTCTCTCTGTCCTTCTACATACACTACTCTGACAGCAAGCAATTTAGACCAGTGACTCCTCCTTTAGCACATACCCATAAAAACTCTATTTCCAGTAAGGTCCAGATCCCAGGCTTGAATTCTGTCTGCTTTACTAAGTACTTAAAGGCTAAAGCCGTGGTACAGCAACATTCTTTATGCCTCTCTAGAGCAGTGACTTCAACTACAACGTTTCAACTACCTTCTGAGGAGATGGTTAAAAAAAAAAACAAAACAAAACCAAAAAAAACAAAACATACAAACAAAAAAACCCTGCAAAGATAGGAGTAAAAAAAAGTGTAGACTAAGGGCTACTGTAATTCTGTAATGCAAGTGAGATGTTAGGCACTAACACCAAGTCTTCCGGGGCCAAGACAGTTCACTCAGTCGGTAATTGCCACCCCCAGAGTCTTCCTGAAGAAGGTTCCACAGGCAAGTCATCACCAAAAGATTTAAGTCTTTTACATTGTAGAATTCTACATATATTGCCTTTGGCAACTTCAAGGGCAAAAAAAAATACTCTGCTTATCCCTATACAAAGTCCTGTAGCGTGGCAAACCACACTGTTTCTTAAAAACCCACACCTCTGCTCCTATTGTATTTTGAAAGTAATTATCTGTAGTTAGATATTATCAATCTCTTGGTAACAGAAGTCCACGTTTTTAGCAAATAGTCTACCAATAGCAGATCCTATTTTGGAACAAGCAAGTAGAAAAGGCATTTTGGTATGATGCAGTAACAACAAAAATAGCAGTCTAATTCGGATCAGAGCGAAACACACAGGTAAAAAAGCCAGACTGGTTCTTGTGATATCTTACAAACCAGCCAGCTAGGTGACAACAGCAAATGGCTGTACGGTTTTGTTTGCTCAGTAACTAACCAGTATATAGCCACTTCCACAAGCTGACAGTTCCATTTCTAACTATCTAATTAAACCCAATTTTAAAGTACATGTCAGCTTAATGTTATACACAATATTACTGTACATACTCCTGCAGCACATTCTGTAGTCAAACACCAGTCTTTGTTTGTACATGCACAGCATGTTTGCATTTTATTTGAACACTTCTTCTTAGAGGTTATTTCCCCATTTTCAGATCCTGTTTTCAGTTCCCAATTGTGGGTTGATCCTGTGAATCATCCTTGCCCTCCTACCACCCAAAAGCAGTCACCAATTTTTCAATCCTTTAGCATAATGCAAAGCCTTAAGAAAATGAAACCCAAGTAGGACTTTAGAAGATAACTAATTAGCGAGAAGAATGTAGATCTGAGATTTTAGGTTATCCTGAAGAATAAAGATATAATTGCATTACACTTGAGAAGTAGATGTAAAAGTTGCCAGAAGTAAAATTTAACCATTCACATTTCCTCATCTCTGAAGCTTCCTTTAGAAGTTTCTGCAAATGTATTTAAGCCTTTTAATAAGAAGTGACTATATACAGGCAGGCTTTGGGCTCAGAGATGAAAACAATAACTAATCACACTGTGGTAACGTGTTAACTGATCCAGGTAGATATCTGTACACACACCTCTTCAGTGCTGTGGACTAGATACCGCTGATCAGATGAAATACAGCAGTTCTGCTATCTGAAAGGGTATTTCCAATTTGCATTATAGAAACCTTGACTCCTTTAGTCAGCACCAAGGTGATCAAAAAGACCACTGTATTTTCAAATCAGCTCATCGTAAGAAATATAAAGATATACAGCTGCTTGAACCACTGGTGTTTAAATAAATAAAAAAATAAGGAGCACCCCATTGTTCAGACTAAAGAACTAGCCTAGAGAAGCAGAGAGAATCCAAACCCTAAGTCTGCTACAGACTTCCTGTAACGCTCCAAGCAAATGTCACCATTAGAACTCAACAAAAAAAAAGCAGTTTTTCTTCTGTCTCCAATCTCTTGTCTGGATTGTAAATTAAGCAGAGATACCTTCTAAAAAAAGAAAAAAACCTCTCAGTTTTCAGAAGAGGCTGTGTCAGAGTAATTATGTCCATAAATATAATATTTAGGAAAACTTCAAAAATTGACATAGTAGCTTTATCAGTAACACTGAGCTCTAGACCACATCATAAAGTATTGCCCCGATGTATATGAATTATCTAGGAGAAACTTAAAACCTGTTATTCCTTCAGTATATAAAAACTTTTGAGAAGTAAAACGATAACAGAGATGAAATCCAGTTATCTGGAAACCATAACTAGGTATAGACCTATTCCAGATATTATAGCATTGACTTTACACACCCTACTGTTTAGCAGAGATCACAATCAGTAAACATCAGCTTAACTCTTATTGACGGCTGTATGCACAGAGGAGATTTTTTGCTGAGGAGATTATTTTGATTACTTACACTGAAGTTTCAACAATGTTTCTCTTAACTCAAACTGACCATTTCAATTATTTATACAGACACTGCTATCTGAGTCCTAGTAAGAACAGTTCCAAAAGAGCTGGGAGGGGAAAGGGGAAGTTTACTGAAGTTTTCAACTGGCGTTAAAAGGGAAGATCTGCTACAGTTGTATCTGTACCTACTCCAAAGCTTCAAACTGGAGAGACAAAGCAGCTAAGAGCACATGGGTAGGAGACAGTAGGGCCAAGAGGCTCAAAGCCTCAAAAAAGAACAAGCGACCACGACGTCTGTGTAATTTTTTGGAGTGCAACATGACGGAGGTGCTAGCAAGGGCCAGTGGTTTTACTGGCATCTTGGCGAGTAAATACAGCAGCTTCTCCCCAGTCCCCCTCCTATTAACTACACCCTGAACACCTGCTCATCTACACCAAACATCAACAAAAATTTTCCCTTGTACCCAACCTGCTAAGAAACTCTCAGGTCTCCAAAAACTGCACTACTTTAGCATTTTGGTTTGGAGCAGTAGTATAGTTTTGAAGCAAATGCCCCTACCAACCCAATCACTGTGCACTGGCTTAGTCTGCAGGACAATCAATGAGTGACCTGCATTCCTTCTGGAGCAAAGTAATAACCAAAAGCTCCGTGCCAGGTGCAATACGAATACTGTCCAGATCAGAACGAAGTCACAAGGGTTTGAACCAACAGCTGGTCCTTCAGACAGCCTCTAATCAGGAGTGCAGCAGGCTAGTCAGTCAAAGGGAAAATCGGACTAAGCTGGTTTGAAATCAAATACCCAAATTGGAGTTTAGACTGAGGGACCTCAGTAGGTTTGATTTACTTCTGCACTCCTATTGCACCAAATTAATTACTATTAAACATGACAAAGAAGCCCTCTGAAACATTATATCAAACACCTAACATACCATTCTCTTCCTCCCCTATCATTAATGATGTTGAGATTTTAATTCATTTCTTAATATATTACACTAAACTGCGGCGAAGCTTACTTTTAACACTAACGTTTTCAACATTTTTACATTTGTCGTCTTTAGCATTTATTCCTGCTAACATAAAATGTAAAGATATTTAGAGAGTACTTTTTACCTATTCCAACAGTTTAAGCATCCTGTACCTTTCCACTTTCCTCCCCACATATACAAAATACGACATAGGCATAGGTTGCAAAACAGAATAAACATTCAATTTGGCAACAGTCATGTAGCATTTAACATTTTCCTTACCTGTATATTTGTTCATAGGAGATAGGGATGTAGTCACCAGGACTCTGAGTTAAAAGCTGATCTATGGCACTGTCCAACTTTGGCCAATATGTGCTCTTATAGTCTTCAATTGTTATAACATTCATTACTACAAAGAAAAGACAAAACTATGTTTAGTAAATTAAGCTAGAAGAGCAGAAGCAAAGGAACAATCAGCAGTTTCAGATCACAGTAATAACAAGCTGGCCAAAGAAAGGGAAGAGTTCACTTCTGCTAGGATATCCTCATGTAAAAATAAAGCGCATACTTGAAATTGTACCTTTATAATTTAAAAAAAAAAAAAATCAGAAAATCAGTCAAATTAGTGCCTGGATACCTCTCAGAATCCCAAGTAATAAGGAAAAATGAACTCTTGGGAGTTCTCATATCACGAAATTTATTTATCAAAAATAAACAAATAAAAAGTTCAGGGACTTGACTAATAAATTACATAACTCTGTAGGAGACCAGAATCCACAATTAACACTGAGGTTCTTGCATACAGAAGAACAAGGTTTGGCCAGGACTGGTAGTTTTTAGAATATTCCTTTCCAGCTGATGAACCAATTTTGCAAGTCTCCAATGGTGCCAACGGCTTCCTTGCCCTCAAAGTTTATACAACTCCCTTTGCCTCCAATTGTGGTTAGGCACCTGGACAATATCTTGCATATTTCCGTTCCCCCCATCAGGCACAGTAGTAGTACCTTTTCCAGGTAGTAATCAACCCGATGAAGAATGAGGAGGCTTTTACTTTTGTTTTCCCTATCAATCCCAGACTTTTACTCCTGAGCCACCCAACTACACCCCTTCCCCAAGCCACTCTGGGTACCTTCACTGATATAGAAGAGTTTCAAGCTCTCTCTTTTCAGGCAAGATTTCTGAATTAAGTACATATGGCTCAATTCCAATAGCAGCCTCCAGAGACAGACTTGCAGGACTAACTTCCTGGCTTGTCACACCACCATAGCTTGTGAGCATCCACCGAAAACCCTCAATAACTAGCAGTACAGAGCATATTTAGTACCAAACCTGACCAGTGGAGGGAATCTAAAGTCATTTCTTTATTTGAACTCCACAGGTGGGCGAGGGCTGTATGGAACAGAGAACGAAGACAGTTCCCACCCCAAACAATGCAATTTAAACATCACACTGCAAAGGAATATTTTGAATAGGGATGCATTTTAAATATCTATCTAAATGTACATTTACTGCTTGTTTTGAGGAGCAAGATTTCTGAACTCTGTTTCATTAAGGCTTGAAGAGAGCTTTGTCTGTCACTCTTGTCTTGGCAGCATTTAGAGGAAGCATTTCAGGAACATACAGACAAAACAGTTAACAGAATTACGACAAGAGAAGAATATAAAAAGAACGTGCACTAAAGAGAGGTGTGAGACAAGAAGAATGTTTGAAAGTCATACTTAAGAGCAGGTATTACAAAGATTCCCATCATGTGTCTCTTGGGGGTAATTTAGACAGAAATCTTGCTAAGTGAAGAGTGTTAGTGCAGTAGTCCCAGTCCCCCTTCGCATTGTTCGCTCTTGCTTAATACCTCACATAGAAACCAATACAGTGAAGGTCACCACTACCAAGTGCTGTAAGATGCTCTTCCTACACTCAAGTCTGCAATCTGAAAGCACATCACCATTCGCTGTCAAGTTCATAAAGGGTCTTGGTATACAAACAATAACTAGGACTTAAGTTGCATGTCAGCTCCATGATGTAGAAGTACCCATGTGATCAAGAGCAGCACAGCAGCTACTTGACAGTAAGTTTACCCCCTCATTCATCTCAGTGATCCGAGTTCTCTTCGCTTACAAAGCCCAGGCTCCGGGCAGGTGTTCTCAGCAGCAGCTTCCACCTAGCTTTGGAGATTCGTGTTTACACTCAGTAGCAAAACTGAAGCATCTGTATTTCACTTGGCCACAGAAAAACGTGGGTCTACACAGAAGTACTCTGCTTTGCAGGAAACATTACACAAGTCAGCATAAATATTAGTCCAAATCTGAGGTTAAGATTTGACTGTATAATTACACGCACATCTGGTTTAGCGTATTAACTAAGCTCTACTCATTTCAAAGAAAATCAGTCAAGTACAAATCGAATCCTGCAAAATAAATTTTTAAGCAGGCTGTTGAAGGGTCAATTCTTTCTACGATACGGAGAAAAAGTAGCAGCAGACAGGAAGGCCTGCCCACTAGAAGTGCTGCATAGGTAAAGGATAAAGTGCTTTTATGGATAGTCCTGATAGATTTGCATGGTAAACACTGATGGGTTTAAACTAACATTCTGTAAGTTTCTGTTTTATTCAAAAGACTCTTACAAGTACTATTCACTCTGTTTGATTTCCACAGTTAAGCTCCGAATATGAGCCAACCATAATGTTTATATAACAGAGAATCCAAGAACTGCGCATTGAACAGTCACTACTATTTTTATTCTTCTAATCCAAAAAACAAATTATTCTTAATTACAAATCAGTAATATCCTTTCTTCACTGGCAGCGCTTCCATATACACAAAGCAAAGGATGACTTAAAGAAGTTTCCTCCAATTATGAGCTCTGCAAGATCATCAAGACTGGGAAGGAAAGGAATTACACACAAATATTAGAAAGAAACAGACTATCCCTTTAGAAACACTTAGTTTTTATTTAGTCGTCTTTTTAGAATGTCATTCTTAAGTGTTTTACCTTATACTAGGTATTCAAGATTTAAAAGAGTATTTGTCCAACAGCCTCCATCTCCAATTCGGGAGGAAAAGGTAATTCTAAAAGACGAGTTTTACTCCCTTTTGATTTACAAATTTCTGGTAAGTGACAGATATTTAATAATAAAGCATGCTAGGACCATGATTTTATCCAACTACAGCAAGCAGGGGGTGGGGGGAAATCAGTCGTGATCAAATGGAAAGGAAAGAAGCCAATATACTCTGACAAATTATAAAACTAAGGCATCGCAAGTAAAGCTAGAAAAGCAACTGCTGTTTTTCTTTATTCAGGAAAATTCCAAAGAAAAACTGCTGTGGCATTAAAACCATTTAAGTGAAAAGGGATACTCACGATCTTCATACTATAACCAAGATATTTCAATATCAGAGCTATAACTGAAATATCTTGTTCTAGGCTACCAAATTCTTTGATATCAACTTTAACCAGAAGAACGGCAAAAAATGCTAATGTAGTGTTGCTTCTGTTATTTACGGATGGCAACTTAACCTAAAAAGGCACTCAAAAAGTTTACTACATTCACAAATTAAAAAAAAAAATCTTTTTATTATTATATGGGTAAAAAAGGGGGTGGGGAAGAAGGCAGTAGGTAATCCCACTTACTGACAATGAAGCAGGTACTGGTCTGACAGTTACCTGCATTTATTCAGACAGTAAAAAAGGTGCAAGAACAACTCTCAGAAGCTTTGAATATTTCATTTCAGAAAGTGAAATATATGAAGCTTTACTGCTTAAGTAGCAATGCTCACTACAATCCCAAAATATTTTGTGAAAGCCTAAGAACTCTTCGAGTAGAAGTCTGTGAGTTTTACAATAAAAAACTACAGATTGTAGCTATTGTTATGAATCTGCTGTTTTCTTTTTCTCACGAGTCATATACATTAAGAGAATAATGATTTACACCTCCACCACATTCTAGTGTATGTTAGCAAGTTATGAATCTGTTCCGTAGTGACTTTCTCTTATACCAGTACTCAGTCTGCACTAAGAATGGTTAGTAAAAGTAAAGTTTAATCCCCTGTTATTCATCAGACAATTTGTCTATGCAATAAAGCATATAAACTGCGCTAAACTGCGTTATTCGACTGGGTTGTCGGAAATTTAATGGACATGCCAACATTCAACAGTCACATGTGCCCATCCTAACTGGGACCTTGGATTAAATATATTTGTATCAACCTTGCTTGAAAAGAATGCAAAAATAAAAAGGGAAAATTAAATTTTCCCCACAGCTAGGATAAGCTTCACTGACTACCACAGAAGATGTTTCCTTTAAAATATTAAAAACTCTTACCCATCTTTTCTCTCTTAATGGCCTTAAAAATATATATATTTTGCATTATATTATCACTTTATAAACCCATGGCTACAACTAAACCCAATCAACCATAAACAAACATCTAGTTATAGGTTAATACAACATGAAAAATTCTCTTAGGTTGTTTTTAAAACACTAAAGTATTTTAAAAAGTGACACACTAACACACTAAAGTATTTTAAAAACTCACTAAAATAACGCTTAGCTTATTTACGTGATTTTAGTTACCAACCTTATCAAAATTTCAAGATGGAACTGAATATTTGGCCTCTTAGAAAGATTTTAAAGGCTTTTCCTCTAACTTTCTTCCTCTATTAGTCTGCAAACTGAACTAGACCAAAAAAAGGCCCACTAGACCGCATTAGTCTGCAACTAAAAACAGGAACAAAACCCATATGCCGCAAGTAATTACACAGTAGAACACAGATCATGATTTTTTGTTTTAGAGGAAAGAAATAGGAGGGAGGGATCTGTCTGAAGGTCACTGGAGTTCCAATTTATCATCAGATTGTAGGAAATGATAAGCAACCCATGTTTTTGAAGTTCACCTGTAGGAGAAACATGTCCCAATACTAAGCCTCTGCATGATGCAAGCAAGGAACAAAGCCCTTCTCTGCTGTGCGAAAAGCCTTCTGTTCCCCCTAAAAACTCTAAGTAATGGATGCTGAGCAATTCAGGTCTACAGAGTCAGAAGCATTCAACTTTTTTCCTGATACCAAGCCATACTGAAGCCAACTTACACTTCTGTGAAAAAGTTTTTCTTTTTTTCCCAGCACCCTTTAACTAAACAACTTTCAGCTCCATTTCCAACTGTATTGGTCATCAGCACCAATTAAACACAATACACAACTTTCTTGTCAGACTTAAGACTAACAAGCAACTTCTATGCACAGCTTCTGCCACTGTTACGACACAGCAGGCAGGAGGGGAACTAAGCACACTCCCTCTCCCTCCCTTGTCGTTCTATACTTACCTCTTCAGAGGACCCTCAACCTGAACCAAGTGTGAAGCGACCTTCTCCCATTTTGCATATATGGGAATCAAACTGAGGAGATTAAGGCACCCTCTGTCAGGATCAGGATTAGAATTCACAGGATCCAAACTTAGCTATCATAATTTTTTTTTACTGTACTACTTCAC